AAGTCCAAGCCCCTCGCCCACAAAAACCTCCTTTACCCCCTCCCTCCAACCTTTCTGAGGATGACCCTTATCCCGCCTTCCTTTCCCTACAGATTTATACGCTCTCCATGTCATTCTACTTTGATCCATTCTCTCAACAACCCCTCTTCAGCCCTCTGACTAATATAATTTTATTAACTCTACACCTTCTCCTAATTTCCACACTCTGAATTCTCTGAATAATATTTACACCACACATTGAGCCTAGACAGGACATCAACGCCTCCTCGCTGCAGCATTTATAACCCAAGCTTCACACCCATGTAAGAGTGTTGGTACAACTATACTTTCATACATTCCCTTCCTTGCCTCCACAGATAATGTTTTTTGTCTCCACATATACCTCAATGCACCACTCACCTTTTTTCCGTCATCAATTCTATGGTTAACCTCATACTTCACAAATCCATCTGCTGGCATGTCAACTCCCAAATATCTGAAAACATTCACTTCTTCCATACTCCTCCTCCCCAATTTGATATCCAATTTTTCTTTATTTAAATCATTTGATACTCTCATCACCTTACTCTTTTCTATATTCACTTTCAACTTTCTACCTTTACACACATTCCCAAATTTGTCCACTAGCCTTTGCAGTTTTTCTTTGGAATCTCCCATAAGCACAGTATCATCAGCAAAAAGTAACTGTGTCACTTCCCATTTTGTATTTAATTCCCCATAATTTAATCCCACTCCTCTCCCGAACATCCTAGCATTTACTTCTTTTACAACCCCATCTATAAATAAATTAAACAACCATGGTGACATTACACATCCCTGTCTAAGACCTACTTTTACCGGGAGTAGACTCCCTCTCTTCTACACACCCTAATCTGAGCCTTACTATTCTCATAAAAACTCTTTACAGCATTTAGTAACTTACTACATATTCCATATACTTGCAACATCTGCCACATTGCTCCCCTATCCACTCTATTGTATGCCTTTTTTAAATCCATAAATGCAATGAAAACTTCCTTACCTTTATCTAAATACTGTTCACATAAATGCTTCAATGTAAACACTTGATCTACACATCCTCTACCCACTCTAAAACCTCCTTGCTCATCCGCAATCCTACATTCTGTCTTTCCTTTAATTCTTTCAATAATAACCCTACCATACACTTTTCCTGGTATACTCAGTAAACTTATTCCTCTATAATTTTTACAATCTCCTTTGTCCCCCATCCCTTTATATAAAGGAATCATACATGCTCTCTGTCAATCCCTAGGTACCTTTCCCTCTTTCATACATTTATTAAACAAATGTACCAACCACTCCAACACTATATCCCTTCCTGCTTTTAACCCTTTGAGGGTCGGTCACGTACAAGTACGTCATTGCAGCCAGGGTCGGTCACATACTTGTACAACTAAATTCTAGTACCTTCAAATCTGGTGGAAGAAACCTGGCAGGCCTACACATAAAAGAATGGGTCTGTGTGGTCAGTGTGCGCAGTATAAAAAAAAAATCCTGAAGCACGCTGTACATAATGAGAAAAAAAATAGCTTTGTGTTTAAAACAGCGACTTTCTAGTGCATTTTCGTATGGTATTTATGGCTGCATTCTCGTTTCCTTGGTCTCATCTGATAGAATGGAAGATATATTACAGAATTAGAAATGATTTTGATTGGTTTCACAATGACAAGTACTTTGAAATTGAGCTCAAAGTAGCGGAAATGATCGATTTTTGCCGATGTTCAAGAGTAAACAAATAAAATCACGCGTCCAATACATGTCAACTGGTGAGTCTGATATTCTTTCACAAGTGCACTTATATCATTTATATAATTTTTACAATGATGCAGTAGAATACATAACAGAAAACCTTCTATTTTCAGTGAGAAAAAAATTCAAAATGGAAAGCAAAAGTAATGTAAGAGGGGCCTAGACACGTGACTAATGAACAGATAAAATGTTATTTTAGTGCCATGAATGTCTGTCTTGTTTATTCTGGACCCTATTTCAAAACTGGCATCTTTTGAAATTTGTGTGAAATTGCCCAAATTGCCAAATTCTGACCACTTTATTGGGTAATTGAAATCGGTAAATGGGTGGGTTCTTGTACTCAATCAACAGAGCAAATGGAGTTCTAGAGAAATAGCTATGATTTTAGTCAACTGCAACTTTGGAATTGGCCAAAAGTGGGCGAAATCGCCCACTTTTAGACCGCTAAATTCGCGAATGCATAATTCCCTAAGTTTTTCATCAAATTTCATACTTTTGGTGTCATTATGATCGGAAAAAGATCCTCTATAATTTCATAAGAAAAAATTATTTATTTTTTTTTATCGAAAATTTTTCGATCCCGAGAACAAGTTTGGGAGAGAGCCTCTCGACCCTCAAAGGGTTAACATTTCTGTCATGATTTCGTCAGTTCCAGCTACTTTACCCCCTATCATTCTACGTAATGCCTCACACACCTCCCCCACACTCACATCCTGCTCTTCTTCACTCCAAAGAGATGGTATACCTCCCTGGCCAGTGCATGAAATACCGCCTCCCTTTCTTCGTCGACATTTAAAAGTTCCTCAAAATATTCCTGCCATCTACCCAATATCTCCATCTCCCCATCTACTAACTCCTCTACTCTGTTTTTAACTGACAAATCCATTCGTTCCCTAGGCTTTCTTAACATGTTTATCTCACTCCAAATTTTTTTCTTATTTTCATCAAAATTTCTTGACAGTGCCTCTCCCACTCTATCATCTGTTCTCCTTTTGCACTCTCTCACCACTCTCTTCACCTTTCTTTCACTCTCCATATACTCTGCTCATCTTATAACACTTCTTTGTAAAAACCTTTTTCTCTTTTATCACACCCTTTACTTCATCATTCCACCAATCACTCCTCTTTCCTCGTGCACCCACCCTCCTATACCCACAAACTTGTGCCCCACATTCTAATACTGCATTTTTAAAACTATTCTAACCCTCTTCAACCCCCCCACTACTCATACTTGCACTAGCCCACCTTTCTGCCAATAGTAATTATATATCACCCGAACTTCTTCCTCCCTTAGTTTATACACTTTCACTGCTCTCTTACTTGTTGTTGCCATTTTCCTTTTGTCCCATCTACCTCCTACTCTAACTGTAGCTATAACTAAATAATGATCCGATATATCAGTTGCCCCTCTATAAACATGTACATCCTGAAGCCTACCCATCAATTTTTTATCCACCAATATATAATCTAACAAACTACTTTCATTACATGCTATATTATACCTTGTATATTTAACCTCTTTTTCATAAAATTTGTATTACTTATTACCAAACCTCTTTCTACACTTAGCTCAATTAAAGGCTCCCCATTTTCATTTACCCCTGGCACCCCAAATTTACCTACTACTCCCTCCACAACATTCTTACCCACTTTAGCATTGAAATTCCCAACCACAAGTACTCTCACACTTGGTTCAAAACTCTCCACACACTCACTCAAGATTTCCCAAAACCTCTCTCTCTTCTCCACACTTCTCTCTTCTCCAGGTGAATATACGCCTACTATAACCCATTTTTCACATCCTTTATTTTACTCCATATAATCCTTGAATTAATACATTCATTTATTTATTAATTTGAACATGATACAGAGAAGTACAAAGGAATACAGTTATTAAAGCGCAACATGCCAAAGTCCCTTGTATACTCCCTCTTTTCCTGCCATAGCTTATCCTTCAACATTATTGCTACTCCTTCTTTAGCTCTAACTCTATTTGAACCCCCTGACCTAATCCCATTTACTTCTCTCCACTGAAACTCTCCCACACCCTTCAGCTTTGTTTCACTTAAAGCGAGGACATCCAGCTTCTTCTCATTCATAACATCCACAATCATCTCTTTCTTATCATTCGCACAACATCCATGCACATTCACACATCCCACTTTGACAATTTTCTTCTTCTTTTCAGTAATCTGTACTGGAAAAGGGGTTACTAACCCACTGTTCCCACAATTTTAGATGACTTTTACAACACGCATGACTTACGGAGGAAAGATTCTTATTCCACTTCCCCATGGATATAAAAGGAAAAGTAATAAAAACAAGAACTATTAAGTTAAAATCAAAACAACTCAGATGAGTGTGTATAAAAAAACGTGTACATGTATGTGTAGTGTGACCTAAGTGTAAGTAGAAATAGCAAAATGTACCTGTAATCTTGCATAGTATTTATAAGACAGACAAAGACACCAGCATTCCTACCATCATTTAAAACAATTACAGGCTCTAGTTTTACACTCACTTGGCAGGACGGTAGTACCTCCCTAGGTGGTTGCTGTCTACCAACCTACTACCTTATGAATCTTTCTTCTTTCAACACACTGCCCGTATCCCACCGAGGCGGGGTGGCCCAAAAGAAAAAACGAAAGTTTCTCCTTTTACATTTAGTAATATATACAGGAGAAGGGGTTACTAGCCCCTTGCTCCCAGCATTTTAGTTGCCTCCTACAACACGCATGGCTTACGGAGGAAGAATTCTGTTCCACTTCCCCACAGAGGTAAGAGAAAATAAACAAGAACAAGAACTAGTAAGAAAAGAGAAGAAAACCCAGAGGGGTGTATATATATATGCTTGTACATGTATGTGTAGTGTGACCTAAGTGTAAGTAGAAGTAGCAAGACATACCTGAAACCTTGCATGTTTATGAGACAGAAAAATGGACACCAGCAATCCTACCATCATGTAAAACAATTACAGGCTTTCGTTTTACACTCACTTGGCAGGACGGTAGTACCTCCCTAGGTGGTTGCTGTCTACCAACCTACTACCTTATGAATATTATACACAATTCAGGAGTCCCCAATGTGTTTGTATGTCGAAGACTTACTGAACTGCTCTAAACTAATGTCTATTGATGTTCTTAGTAGATTAGGGGTGGATTATGGTTTACTTTTCTGACAAGATAAAATGTCTTGTTTGTTTTTCACTAGTAATGATACAATTAAGCTTCTTAGTAACCAACCTGAAGCCGTTGCCAAGTGAAATCTGCCTGATCTTTGACTCCTTTATCTTGTGAGGCTACAGCAGGCTGTATATCACCATCACACAACACATAAACCACTTCTGATAAAACCTGTAACATAAATCATATACAAAATGTAATTGACTCTTGCTTAACAAGCAACAAAAGGTTCATCAAGCAAAAAATGCATTAAGTGAATATCATTTTCACTATGTTACAATCTAAGATGAAGACAGTATTCTATATCTAATTCTTATAAAAATAATGGGAAAAGAGGGCAGCAGAAGATGAAATTCATAACTATGTACTGTACTCATGAGAGAGTGGCTTCCCTCTTCCCTATTTCCTGCCCCCCCCCCCTCCTTTCTCTCTCTCCCACTCCTTTCACTAAATTTCATACCCTATCCCCTCCCCTTTCATTCTCCCTCCATCTTTGCCATTTCCTCCATTTCTTACAGCTGTATGAGATGGCTATGACTCTGAGAGGTAAGTCATAGCCAATAATTATCTTTAAAATGTCCTTTCCTTCCAATTACTTATAAAAGACAGCTGCAGATATGATTCATAATGTAGTAACAGCTGCTAATGAAGCCATGATATATCAAGCACCAGGAAACACTCCATATCGTGAGTGTTGGCTGCAATCTCCAATCAAATGTTTGAACACCATGCACTCTTGATGATTTCACGCCATAGCATTATTATGGAATAAAATAATTACACTAACACTACAATTTTTTTTTTTTTAGCAAATGTAATAACAGTTTATGTCTGTTTAGTTTGCACAAGTTATGCTGGAGTTCAATGTAAGGGTGGCTTCCCACCTACCAATCTACCAGTAATTTCTATTGGTAATTTCTCTCCCATGCAATTACATATCAGAGACAGCTGTAGATATCGCTCATGATGTAGTAATATCTGATAATAACAAAAAACAGAGAGCCTTGAGTTTTGGAGGCAGCACTTACTTGAATAATGCTTCATGACTAACTTTCTCCTAGCAAAGACAATATACCATATTAAGCAATTTCACTCTCCAACACTAGAGATAGTGTGAATGATGGTCGTAAGTGTTTTCTTTTTCTGGGTCACCCTGCTTCAGTTGGAGATGGCCAGCATGTTAAAAAACAAAAAAATTGAACTGTCTGTCCAAATCTTTATATATGATGATCGAGGACTGAAAGAGAGGGGGATAAATATAGACACTCCTCACTTAACGACCGGGTTCCATTCCTAAGAGTAGGTCAGTAAGTGAATTGATCGTTAAACGAGGAGCCACCCCTTACTGATATTTCAAATATACTGTACTGGTAGTGGGTTTGTGTTAATCATCTTTAGATATTGTTTTAATGTCACCATTTGTAACATTTTTAGTATATTTTTAAATGTTTATGCAGTAATGCACTGTACAGTGGACCCTCGGTTTTTGTGATTAATCCGTTCCGATGAAACCTGAGGGAATTAATGAAAAGTTCTGACGAAACCTGAAGGAATTAATGAACACAGAGACTATATTTTGACGAAAAAAGTCGGTGATAACTGAAAATCACGAAAACAGAGCTTAATGAAAATGGAAGGTCCACTGTATACTGTAATACAAAAACAGACGAAATCATCTCTAATATATATTACTTAGGTTTGCATACTAGTTGGAAAGCTGGTCCTAAGTCCGAGTGGTCGTTAAACAGGTAGGTCATTAAGTGAGGAATATCTGTACTCGTATTTGAAGACCTACTATCACTGACAGATCCTAGCACACATGTGAAACCTAGAGACTTTGTTTTCTACCACAATGTTTCAGAGTTTAGTGTTTTTTTGTGATAATGAAACATGCTACTGCACATCTTTGTCTGGCCACCTTATACAGTCCTCCTCACTTAATGATGAAGTTCCATTCCTAAGAATAGGTCAGTAAACAGATTAGTTGTTAGGCAAGGAGCATACTATACTGGTAGTGGGTTTGTGTCAACCATTTATAGATATTGTTTTAATGTCAATTTTGCACTATTTATAACATTTTTAGTATATTTTTAACCCTTTGACTGTTTCGGTCGTATATATACGTCTTACGAGCCACTGTGTTTGACGTATTTATATGCATAAATTCTAGAGGCTTCAAATCAAGCGGGAGAAAGCTGGTAGGCCTACATGATAGAGAATGAGTCTGAGTGGTAGGTGTGCACCTGTGAAAAAAATCGGGGGCTCAGTGGTGCATTGTGGGAACACCATCTTGGTAGTTCATTTTCACCATGCCTCGCAGTAAGAAATACCTCACTCCTCGGCAGACTGGAGGTCTTTTGTTCCCAAGTGATAGCTCTAACAGTGATGGAACTGCCAGTGGAAGTGAATTTCATGGTTTTGGAGTGGGTGTGACCGAAAGTAGCGCCCAGGATAACGTAATTAGTGATGAAAATCCAGATGACCCACGACATTCCACATCTGGTGCTGGTCCATCTCATTCACGTCCACTTGTACCAGGACAAAAGAGAAAACTATTCTGTGTACAGAACTCAGATGTGAGCAGTGAAAGTGATAATGATAGTGATTTCCAAGCTATTGAAAGCAGTTCTAGTTGTGACAGTGAGGGTGAATATTCTCCAGTGAAATGGCAGAATATACGACGTAGCATGCGTTCTGGTAGTGTGTCATATGTTGTTCCAAGAGGAAGAAGTAAATCTCGGAGTACCTCCCGTGGCCCTACACCATGAACTGATAATGAAGATGACTATATTGTTACAATGGGGATGAATGATGTGAGTGAGGCAGCAGGCAGTGGTGGTGATAGTGGTGGTGGCATGAGTCATGTGGCATTAGCAGGGGGTCACGCTACTACTCACGCTGCTAACTCAGCACAGCCACAACCAGCAACCAACCCCACACTCCCACAACATCCACAACCACAACCTGTAAATAACCAGTACCCAGCAGCAGACCGCATCTGGGGTTGGCAGCAAGGTGACAATTAAGTTCCCAATCCCCATCACTTTGATGAAATACAAAGTGGAATACAGCCATCATGTACACTTGGGAACAATGCTACTAAACTGGAATGCTTTCAGTTATTCTTCAATGAACCCCTGATGGACATTATTGTCAGGGAAAGAAATACATACTTTGAGTACACCATAGCAAACACAATTCTTTCACCAAGATCACACCTACACCAGTGGAAGGACACAACTGTGGCAGAGATGTATCTGTTCTTTGCCACAATAATGTTTATGTCACATGTGTATAAGCACAGTGTCAACACATACTGGTCAACAGACTGCCTGATTTCAACCCCAGCTTTTGGTGACATTATACCAGTGAATGAATAGATTTGTGCTACCATTACGTATGTTACACTTCTCAGACAAAACAAGGCCTGACAGATCAGGAATGTGTTTATGTACCTGAAACAAAAGTGCCGTATGTATTTTTATCTCTTCAGGAAGCTTGTTATTGATGAGTCTTTGATTTTGTTCAAAGGCAGACTCATTCAAGCAGTACATACCAAGCAAGAGAAAATGCTCTGGTATAAAGTTATTTGTACTGTGTGATTGCAAAAGTGGTCTGGTTTTGGATGTAATTGTGTACACTGGCAGTAATACATTGCAAGATACCAGGAAGTTACTAGATATCTCTGGTGATGTGGTTTACCTGGGGTTTACCTGGAGAGGGTTTCAGGGGTCTATGCCCCAGCGGCCGGGTCTGGGACCAGGTCTCATGGTGGATCAGGGTCTGATCAACCAGGCTGTTACTGATGCCACATGCAAACTGATGTACGACTTTAGGATGGAACCATATCTTGGTAAGGAGCATATATACTGACAACTGGTACACAAGCCCTTTACTCAGTGATTTCTTGTGAGTGAACATGACAGATGTGTGTGGCACAGTGCGGGGAAATCATAAGCATATGCCTAGGTTTGACGCTGGCACTCGTAGAGGTGATGTTCAGGTGTTTGCTGCCAATGACATCATGGTATTTCAGTGGCATGACAAATGTGATTTCACATTGTTGACATCAGTTCACCAGCATGAAATGGTAGACACTGGCAAGCAGAATAGAGAGACCAATGAACCCATTGTAAAACCTGCAGCTGTGATGGATTACAACCTCAATATGCACTTAGTGGACAAATGTGACATGTAGATTGGGTTTTCTGATTGTGTTTGCAAGAGTTATAAGTGGTACATAAAACTCTTTTTCTATCAATAGCGAAATTGAATTAACAAAACCAGATGAACCCCAATTCCCACCTACTGAAACAGCAAACAGACTCAATGATTTCTTCTCCACTATAGGAAAAAACCTTGCCAATAAAATCCCAAGTTCAGATACCCCACCCAATGACTACCTCACTGGCAACTACCCGAACACACTGTTCCTAGCTCCGACTAACCCAACTGAATTCTCCTTTATTATCAACAAACTAAAAAACAAGACAGGAGATTTAAATACCTTACCACCCATTATATACAAAAAAAGTGTCACAGGTGCTATCACCAATCATTGAAACACTCTTTAACAAATCCACTGAACCCTCTACCTTTCCTACAGTTCTCAAAATAGCAAGGGTCACCCCGATCCATAAAGGAGGAGACCACACAGACTTGAATAACTATAGGCCAATATCCAACTTACACCCTCTCTCTAAAATCTTTGAAAAATTAATCCATAAGCATATCTATTCCTACCTCATCTCCCACAACATAGTCAACCCCTGTCAATTTGGGTTCAGGCCTAATAAAAATACTAATGATGCTATTATCCACATGCTAGAACATATTTATACAGCAATAGAGAAAAAAGAAGTCCCACTGGGGATCTTCATTGACTTACGTAAAGCTTTCGATACAGTTAACCACGACTTGCTCCACATAAAATTGTCGCACTATGGTATAAGAGGGCACTCCCTCAACTACCTAAAGTCATACCTCAGCAACAGAAGCCAATATGTGTACACAAATGGGGCAAACTCTTCCGCACAGCCAATTACAGTTGGTGTCCCACAGGGAAGTGTCCTAGGCCCTCTTCTCTTTCTCATATACATAAATGACCTACCAAATGCATCGCAATTACTCAAACCCACACTATTTGCAGATGACACTACATACGTCTACTC